TGGAAACATAAACAAAGTAATTCGTGATTCGTTACACGCAATTTTGAAGGGAACAGAATGATTTCTTCGCCGTGAGTTCTACGTGATTGTATGGCCGTGGCTCATGTACAAGCTTACCGTGACATTTCCTATATAAAGAATCACGCGCGTCATTAAAGTCATTAATAACCGATCGATTTCATGCGGCACGCAGGTTATTTTCCTTTTCCCGTTTTCTCACCGGGAAAAGAGAAGAAGCTTTTATTGCGCCGCATACCGTTGCGGAGGGATAATAAAGTCGCGCACCGTGTCCTCGTCAAACGCGGAACAATTCATAGCAATCTGGCAATTACGCGTGATTAAGGAATCGGTGAGGAATAATTTCTTCACGATATGGGGAAGGAACACTCGTTAAACATACAGACCGAATGTCGGAAATGAAATCTCCACGATTGTTCGAAAACCGAATTACAAGCCGTCTAGACGTGCGTGGTTGGTAAATCGCAGGAAATAATTTTATTTAAATCGTACAAGCCACCGAGATTCTCCGTAAAACATTGAGAAAGTTACTGTCGATTTCTCGATAATATTCTACCAGTTAAAAGGTAATTTAACTATGCTATTTGTACATACAATTGTATGCATCAGCAGTTTAATACATGTTCTTAACACTTACACTTTATATAAGTGGACATATTTCTTACAAGAGCACTTATTGCTTTGATCTATATAGATCTTCAAATTCTATTTTTTTAATTGTTTTTTTAAAAATGTTTTTTTATTGAAATATCCAAAATAGTTATATATCATAAATAAAAAGTAAAAAAATAAAAGACTCTTTTAAGAGCTAAACACTTTTTAAGGGAAATGGAAAAGAATAAAATTCTTCAGCTAATTTCAAGGAAACCTTTTTTAACAGAATCTTAGTTTGAGGCTTACAAAACTAAACAATTATAAATGAAGTTTAAATCGATAAGAATAAATCGAATAAGAGAAAAAATCCTATGTTTAATTGATTTTAATGGTATTTATTAAAATTCTTTTTTTTAAAGAGAAATTAATTTGAGAATGACCAGAGAATTTGCAGTTCAAAGGAAATGCGTTTCCAAAACAAAAGACGCCTTGCATTTGAGATCTTTATCTTATCATTCAATGAGATATCATCTTCATTCAAAATGCATCATCAATTATTGAATACCTTGGTGCACCGGTGCTCCACATGACACTAAGTTTCAAGGATACCGAGAAGATGCGAATCACTATTACGGGGCGTTATGGTGGTTCCACCGTTAGACCTCGCTATACACCATCAACCGCCGCTACGTCGACTAATATTACGTTTACTGGCGTAAAGCATCTGCCATTACCATCCACCTATCGACCAGCCTCTTGCATAATCTCAATACGGTTATGTATACTGTTAGTCTCGAGCAGATGTTCGTTCATAAGATTATCCTTGAAGCGTAGGTCGAATTGCAAATTTGTGAGCAGAAACGGCCAAAGGTTAAATTAACAAAGTTCGAAGAGGTGGCGTTTTAGCAAAACCTAGAATTATTTAAAATTAGTAAAGCTTCTCCGGTCTGTTAAGTATAGTTTACAACGCGATTGCAATTAAGTCACAGTCTTAAAATCGCAGTGTTGATACGGAAAAAATAATTTTGCTGAAATATCTGAAAATTTAGCTAAATACAGATCTAAAGATAATTTCGTTAGACCAAAATAATTATTTAGAAAACTTAAGCATAATGAACAATACTGTCAAAAATTTAGATATTTTGACAACCATCTTGGACGTTCTATAATTATTTTGATAATTTAATAAAATTATTTTCAGATTTGTATCTAGCTAAATTTTCAGATATTTCAGCAAAACGTTCTTTTTATAAGTTGAGTTTTATTATGATGCCTATCTACATACTTTATTCAGTCTCAAATTGCTAGGCTGTAACATAATAACCAATCAGTTATATACAATTAGTTATATAGATAGAACGTTCGATCTTTTCTCCGTCGCAGCGTGTTGTGGTCATAGTCGCTAGATTTGGAGTAGAGTGACTATGCTTATACGATTGTGTCCTATACGATCGGAAAATGAGTATGTTACTACTGCTCTTGCTTTATTATAAAATGAATTTGCGACCGTATTGTAGACTATGCTTTATAGTCCAAGACTGTAAGATTCATGAATAAAACATTAGCTTCTTGAACCCCCTTCTTGATTACTGTTCCACGTACAGTTAGGCCGATCTTAGGGAAACGAAGATAGATTTACGTGTTCTCCAGTTATTAACCTTGCGGTCAAGCGTCATTAGTAGGTACGATGAGGTTGCGCAGTATGGGATTACCTAAGCAATTCTAATTCATATCCCACATGATCACTATAGTGATTCTAATACTAAAAGGTATCTTCTAATATCGAAATAACAGACGAGGTTGAGAGCTGTTGCTAACACATAACAGAATCTAAGAAGCTTTTGCGAAAATTTAAATAATTGTTTTCGCCACGATGAACACAGTTGATTAGCAAAACAGCAAAGTGTAGCCTCTCCTTAGATTAATCTTAGATGTTAGTTGGAAACTGATCATCCTTTATTATATGAAGGAGACGGATCACGCTGATAATTTGCGGGGCATACCTCGCCAAACTTTCACTCTTACTCACGTGATAGTCCACCCTTCTCTCTTTCTGCGAGAACGATCTGCGGCCGTGCAGAGAAATTCTTTGCGGCTGCAATTACCGTGTCGACGGCAGCTGCATAACGCACAGGAAGTCCTTGCCGCAAACTAGATTCCTGCGATTCTATCGATCGGAGCGCTTGGAAAAATAATAACGAAATATTTCGTGCTTGTCATTGATGTTTCTTGCTTATAAGATTTTCTATTCTCTGCGCCTTCATAAAAGCATTCGTGGTAATTAATCAACTGCTCTATACGCTTGGCTGAGTTTATGCGTATCCAGCATACCATCGCGTGATGGTACTTCATGACACACGCTCACGAATCCTTCTACTTTCATCCATGTACATCCATGTTTCCGGCGTATTAAGACAAAAATAGATAGAAAAGCGAGATGGGAATAGTAATCCTGTAAAAAGATTGACGCGTAACAAGAGTCGTACATAATCTTGAAATTAGAAAAAATATTAGGTAGCAATATCTTTGCATGCTCTGTGAGCATTGCGACAAGCAAATCGATGTAGGTAAGTATAATTTGCAAAGACAAATTTCCGCATCTTACGTGCTCAGGAATAACATAATTCAAGAAGAAAATTCAAGAATAATTATATCTTATAATTTATCCTCAAAATAATTTTTGATTTCGAAAATATTTTATTATTATACCATAATTTAAAACAATTTTAGTTGAGAGTTACAGTTAAAGATCATTTTAATTTTAATGCAGTTATAGGCATACACAGCTATGATACATGTAATGTTGAAAAGATTTATGTATTTTATTTATATATTCTATTAAAAGTAAATATCTTGTTAGAATCTACAATTTTCAGAGAATTATGAACATTAATATTAATCAGATTTTTGTGATCAACAGATATTAATTCTGTCACATCAAAAAAGATTGTAAATTAAAAACACGGTTAATTTATTGAATCTGCTTTTGTAGTAGGTTTTTTTAATTAAATTAGAATATTTAGTAACTTGCAGAACTATCAAAATAATTTAGATAATCTACCTTAATTTATATATGGAATAAAAATTTTTTAATACGTTACGTGTAATAATTGTAAAGAATGTTAAAAGTCTTTTCTAATCATTTTAAATCACAAATTTTTTGAAAGTTTGAAATAATGAAGTATTTTAGAAATCGTACATATAATTATATATATGTATATAGAATGTCCCATTATAATTATCGCGCTCAGACAAATATTTCGAACAATATGGAGATATGGAAAAATATTTCATATAAAATTTGAATGGCTTGAGAAAGTGCAAATATATTGATAAAATTAATTTTTAAAAAAATTCTATTTGTGAAAGTTATATTAAGAAGATTATCGCCATTTTTTAAATAGGAAATTATAAGATTCTTTTTATATGATTCCTCTAATAATTTTACCTATAACAAAAATATTGATCACATACAGATCTCGAAAAATTATGGCGAATTCGATTGGATGCACTAGTGCGCACTAGTGCGCACTGAGTACACCTGAGTTCATTTGTTTTCCTTTTCTCTTCAGGAGAAGGGAAAAGGAAAAAAGATGAACTGGTGCAATCACTCTGCACTGGTGCATCCCAATCGAATTCGCCATTAGTTTTCTGAATTATTTTATTAAAATACATTAATTTTTTTTAATAATCAATGAATCAATTGATATAAAGAAAATGTATAATTATTTTTAATAAAATATTGAAATTGTATATTGGAATTGTATATTGTAAAGAATGTAAAGTACATAATTTTTTGTATAATAAACAACATGTTTTTTATATCAATTAATTCATTAATTATCAAATTAGTGGAAACATTGTTAAAATACTTTACATTTTTCATTGTATTATCTTTTTTAAACTTAAATTATTTTTTAATTTTAAGTAATTATTTTTATACAATTGTATAACAAAATTGAATGAAAAATTGCTGTTACCCACTGAAATTTGTGACTACATAGTTCAATGTGCACGCTTTGTGCACATGATGGCACTAGTAACAACAGCTAGTGTGACCTCTTATTTCAGCGAGGGCCAACGTGAGAGATTTCGCTTATCGCGGGCGTTTCGTCCCGGTTTCATCCCTACTACTAGACTCGTCAGTATTTGACAGTTAATTTTAGAACATAATCAATATTTATTTAATAAAATATGAATTGCAGTTATATTTATGTGATATTAAAACATTTCGTTATTGCTGCCTTTCTTTTTCACAAATTTAAATGTTTGCGCGTTATTACTATCAGATTTCCACGGACACCAACTCAACATACTGCAAGTTGGCAACGACTTTTAAGTAGAAGATGATTACTTCATTTTCAGGTTATCGTGTTGAGAATGGTTGAGAACGCTTAGTGATACCAGTTCATCTCGTAAATTTTCAATCCTTTCCATTCAGTATGACTTACTTAAATCAACCGGATTACGTGCGTTACTTGTGCAACTGTGGCTCCTTAAAACCTATATCAAAGATATATTTCTGCCGACATTGTTTGATGATAAGATGCGGCTACTGTGTCTGTCAGGAGGTGCGATTTTTTAAAATTTTTTATAAGTAAATTAAAAAGAAGAAAATTTATTTTATACCTGAATGTATTTGAAATGTATTATAACATATATAAAGCTCTTATTTATAAAAAAAAATGTCTCTTATATTTAGGTTGACTCCCATTATTGTCCCAATTGTATGGAAAATTTGCCCTCATCGGAAGTACGACTTAAAAAGAACAAGTATGTTCATATACATCAAGCTTCACATATTAAAGATAGGATTGAATTCATTTAATATATGGAATAATTTTTATTGATAGATGTTCCAATTGCTTTGACTGTCCTTGCTGTTTTCAAACGTTATCTACAAGAGCAGGATTAGCACCTGTGAGAGCAGCAGCACCTGAGGGAGAAGAAAACAAGGATGTTAAAGCCACTCCTAAAAAAGTATATTATCTATTCTGTTCATTGTGCCGATGGAGTTCTCGAGATGCAGGAATACCTGATCAATCTGTAGGTAAGAAATTTCATTAATAAATAATTTTATAAATAAAAGCTGAGTAGAGAACATTTTCCTAACTTATATTTTGAATTGTTATAATAAATAAAGAAAAGATTAATGAGCCTGGATAGCTGTAGTTATTTTTTTAATTATACTGATTTAATTACATTCTTGTATATTTATTTATAATTAGATAAATAAGCACAATTATCTATCTTGGCTTATTAACTCTTTATTTATTGCAATGATTGCAGAATCTTTGTATAAATTTTACTATATTTTCAATTTTTGTCTGTAGCAACTGGAGGATGGCCCGAACAGGAAAATCCACATGTAACACGCATTAACGCTCTTATTGATTATCACAAGGTATTAGCCTCTATAGAGAAACAGCAATGTGAACGGAAAAAAATTCATCCAAAACGCTCCTTTATGCCAGCTGTAAGTTTAATAAGAACTAATTATTTATTAATTTAAACATGTTTTCCTAACTATATTTGTTTGCCAATAGCAGACAATGTACAGTTTTACATCAGCCCTAGTTCGCAAGCGTATTGGGCGTCCTATGAAACCACCAATGCAATCTCAATTATCCGCTCAGCCAGTACCATCCGTTGCAAGTGAGGAAGTTGATGAATTACCAAGCGATATATTTGCAGAATCTGTAGATATAACTAAAAGTAAGAAAATTTTCAGTAATATGAGTGGCAGTATTTTATAGATTTTATTTTAAACATACATAATTTTACAGTTACTACGTTGGAACAAAGATTACAGCATCCGGAAGTACAAGCTGAGAAAATTAACGAATTGCGTCCTCAGCACAGACAGTTTTTAGTTAAAAGATCGCAACGTTGCAGAGTATGTGAACATAATGTTAGCAAATCGGATCTTTGTCCTCAATCAACAAAATTCAAGATTTTACTAGCTGCATTGTACGTATTACATTAAGTATTGCATTATAAGGGATTAATTACTAACATTAGTCATGATACACTAATACATAAAATAATATATAAAATAATTTTAACTTTTATCATACTCTTGGACATATGATAATCAGAGTTGTATTTTTTTTAGTTATCATATCCCAGAAGTCAAGATCGTTACTTGTGAACCTCTTCGACCAGGGAAATCAAGTGAATTGCTTCTAAAATTCTGTAATCCAACACAGCATCAAACGCAGATAACCATATTGCCCTTAGATACCTCGTTATCTACTTCATTCATCGAAGAAAAAGACGTTAAAGAGGATACACAAGTAATATTAAATTGAAATTTTATCATAAACTGTAATATATTTTAATAATTTATCATTAAATGGTTATAATTGCAGTCGAGTGAATCTTCAAATTTATTGTCATCTACTGTACGACAAGTACCTGTAACAGAAGATCCTAAAGCAATAAAAGTTATATCAAATGCAGATTTGATGTTGCCTCATAGTTCGTTGATTCTTCCACCAAGAGATGATGCTGCTGAATATGATGATACAAATGATAATCATAATTTTCAAGATGATCCAAAGTACGTGGAATATAAAAATTATGTAAAGTTAATATAAAAAGATAATATGAATTTTATTATATAATTTTTTTAGACTTGTAGTATGGCGAAAAGGAAACAAGGCAGTTATACGTTTGCATGTAACTCCACATGATACAAATAAAGATAATGAAGATCCAGTTATAGTTGGATTTGTCATGCAGCATGGATATGTAAATACTATTGCAGCGCTAGAACATAAATCTCCACAAAAGGTAGATGTAAAGGTTAAATTATATCTTACTGTTGGTCAAATAGTTGGCGAAACATAGTCTTTCTCAAATTTTCATTACAATAATTGCAAAAGAGAATACTCTATACATAAATGCTTTATAATTCAGTAGTCGATTATAAATTAAATATTAAAAATACCTAAATATTTATACTAGGGCTCTAATTTTATTCCGTTTTTCGAAGATACATATAAACGTAAAACGTTTATCCGTATATTCGCTTTCAGAAAATCGTTTACTTGTAGGTAAAAGTTTACACGTTTAATTAGCTTATCCATTTATTAGAAACGTTTTTCTGAATATACATGTTTTATTATATGTTTGAACGAAAATACGTTTACATGTATATTTAGCATATCCATCTATGAAAAACATCTTTTCGAATATTTTAACATTTTTTTTATTAAATTAAAATTTTTTGTTTCATTTTCTTATAGTTCAACCCGTTCACTTAAATTGTTCAGTTAGTTCAGTTTTACTACAGTGAACAAATAACATAAAAATAAAATATTTTAAAACGTAAATTCTAAGGTGATTGAATAAAATGTGGGTTAAAATTTAACATATCGTAATGTTAATTCTACTAAAAAAATATGCTTCCACGGTTTGTTTACGAACTTATTTATGTAACCTTGTAACATATTCATCTCATATTGAATTAACTCAAAAATAAAACATAATTTAATAATTAATTTTTCTATTTTCCACTCAATCTTTGCAAATGGTAGAAAGAGAATAGCTAATAAAACTCTTTAACATTTGGATCCTCCGTTTTCCAAACATTTATAATAAACGGATATGCTAATTATACGTGTAAACATGTATTTGTTTAAATGTATAATAGCCAGCCCTACTTATTACATATATATGTAGAAAAACGTTTCTAATAAACGGATATACTAATTATTCATGTAAACATGTTTTTGTTTAAACATATAATAGCGAGCATTAATTTATACCTAAATGTATTATTTTAAGCTTGATATTCATAATATATTCATAGTATGATAGAGAGAGTATATACCATGTATAAATACAAAATGTAAGAATGATCTTATAATCATTTATTGAATTTTTATATTGTAATTAAAAAAAGGAAAATTATAAGTATTATGTTAAGAATGCTTATTATTATAGTATATAGATATATGTTTATATATTTGATGTATCATAAAAACTGCTTGTTTTAGGGATATTGTAGCAAAAAAAGGAACATAAACTGTAGTTTTTAAGATTTCATCTATATATTAAAAAAAAAAGAAAAAAGATGCTTTACAGAAATGCAATGTTTCTTGTTTTTTAAATACATTTATTGTAAGATAATAAACCCCATACAGAAGGCCATAAGAACAGTTTACAGCCTACGTCCACGACGACCTCCCTTCCTACGAGTAGAATCTGATGGAATAGGAGTAACATCTTCAATGCGACCAATTTTCATGCTCGATCGAGCTAAAGCGCGCAGAGCAGATTGTGCACCTGGGCCAGGAGTCTTTGTTTTATTGCCTCCCGTAGCTCTCAATTTGATGTGCAGTGCTGTAATGCCCAACGATTTACATTTTTCTGCAACATCCTGCAAAGCAAAAAATTATAATTTAAATTACATTGATATTTTAATATATTAAAGTTATAATGTAGATAAAGGACATGCTTGAATATCTTCTTTCTTTACAGAGAAAAAGTACATGATGCAAGTACATGTTCTCAATTGTTAAAAAGAACTTGCTTTTCCACAAACATATGAACACTCCTAAGATTATAATAATCTATCTAGGTGCTGCCTGGATGTGGATAATAATAATACATTTTCTCAAACTAATTCAAATATAATAATAAAGTTAAACAACCTGAGCTGCAAGCATAGCTGCGTAGGGTGAGGCTTCATCACGATCTGCTTTTACCTTCATGCCACCAGTAACTCTAGCAATTGTTTCCCTAAAAATGCAGACAATTTTATTTCAATGTTGAATTATTATTTAGAGTCATGTAGTATAATTAGGGAACTCTAGAATGTACTACAAATTTTATATAAGAAGGAAGGATTTTGCTCAATAAAGAATCAAGATAAGTAATTGATATATAGAGATTGTTCTTTCAGCCTCATATCTACTATTTGTGTTAAGAAAATAGAGACAATAGAATGTAACACAATATAATACAGCCTTTAGAGACTCCTGAGAAATAATTTATAGATATTTTTTATCAGCTGTTTTGATGTGATAAGCTTTCTAACATGCTATAGAACTCACTGTGGATATCACATCACTAATTTTAAAACATAAAATGTAAAAAATAAATGTTTTATATATATATATATATATATACACACATAAAAATACTAAACATTTTTATTTTTCACGTTTCCACCTTAGTTACATAATTAATCCTCTTGATTATAATCTAACAAATCTAGCACAAACCTGCCCGACAAATCGGTAACATGTACAAATGTGTCATTGAAGCTGGCGAAGATGTGAGCTACTCCGAATACGACTTCTCCTTCACGAAGTTGAGGCCCAAGAGAGACCTGCACTTCTTCCTTTTGTACTTTACCTCTTTTCGGTGGCATTTCTAAAAACACAGTGGTATCTTCGTTTGTTATTCTATGTAACTCGATTTATTTGCTATTATACTTATTACAATATCCGTATATCGAGACAAACTTTAAGGTTAAGACAATGTGAAAATTCATCCAACTACATCCACATATTCTGCTAAGTACAAAGCGATTTCGCAATTGGAACCTACTTATAAATATTCAATTAATGTATCTAACTTAATATTTTTGATAGATAAAATGATATTCGTGGCCAAAATACCTGCGTATTGTTACGACTATAACCTTTCTCTTCTAGATTTTAACCATAAAAAGAAGGACGCTCCGGTGGCGCAGCTTCTGTTAACCGCTGTAACCAAAATACAATTGTTCTGCGCATATTATGCTTTTTCATGCGCAGCACGCTGCAGCAGCAATTCGTTACTATTGGTTAAGAATTTTATGTAAGCTAGACGACGCACTTCCGGCGCAAAATACATTTTGCCGCAGTTCGTTGAAGTTGAACCGAACGAACAGCAAACAGCAAGCGGCAAAATCGAGAAAGCGTACAATATGTCCGTCGTTTCATTATGAAAATATTATTTATTGCAATAAATATTAGGAAAATAAGCGAAAAATGGCTTCGGATAAGGTACGGATAAATGTTCGTAAATTAGATCATTTTATACTTTATCACAAATTTGAAAAAGTAAGGTGTAAAGTATAAAATGATCTAATTTACAAACATTCGTACCTTATCCGAAGCCATTCTTCGTTTATTTTCCTAATATTTATTGCAATAAATAATATTGCCTCGATTTTGCCGTTTGCTGCTTGCTGTTCTGTTCGGTTCAACTTCAACGAACTGCGGCAAAATGTATTTTGCGCCGGAAGTGCGTCATCTAGCTTACATAAAATTCTTAACCAATAGTAACGAATTGCTGTTACAGCGTGCTGCGCATGAAAAAGCACCTTTAGGGAATTTAGCTGTGTCGTCAAATGAAAATCAAATCGGTTTCTTTCTCTGATCAAACCTATCCAGTAAAAATTCGTTTCATAAGAAATAGTACTAAATTACTTTTATCGAATATCGAATCTTACGGGAAAGATTTTATTAATAGCGTTTTCGACCCGACTAAAGCTTTGCACTAACAACTTCGGTTGAAAAACGCTTTGCTATTTGACGTTACACGCTTTACCAATAGTACAGTGTTTAGGGATATAAAGTAGTAAAAAATGGTTTTATGCGCGTTTTCTAGGAGAAACGTTTTATTGAGTATTAAAAAAAAGGAAAAAAGTTTGCAAGAGTAATGTGGTTGCAAAGTTAAAAAAATGACCAAAATGTTGAGAAATTAAAATTTTCACGTGAATAACTCGGAAAATATCCAATTTCGGGAAAAAAATGTAGAGTATAAAATTAGAGGACGAAATTCTGCACAAAAAAGGTTGTATTCACTTTTTTGAAAAAGAAACGATTCGCTCGAAAAATGCGTTGTTTGAGGTGCGTGTTCGTTCTATTGGGTTTAGTAGTGTAAAACGAAAATGAGCAAAAATGTAGATCTATCCAAGTACGAAAATGATCATAATCTCGATAAAATAGTCATAGGAAGACTAAAAAAGCATTTTAAAAGGAAAGCATTTTTCTGATGCAGATCTGATGATCAAATATTTTAATTTCGTACACTTCCTGAACCAGGAAAAAGGGTTAAACACATTTTTTGTCATTATTTCAAGAGGACGACATATATATGCATCGAAATATTCAGGACTAGGCAATAAATGCCTTTTGAATTCCATTTAAAATACTATAAATATAAAATACTTTTAAAAAGTATACTTAAAATGCAAAATGTAAAATAGATTTTTCAAATTCATTTTAAATGTAAAATAGATAAATACGTATAGTTTAAATGGATTTCAAATGCAAAAATTTATCTTAGTATACATATTTTTAGGCGACATTCAATAAGATAAAATAAAGACCTTTAATGTAAAAACATAATTAATACAAATACGAAGCCTACTATTATAACAATCTAGCTTGGATCTTTAATCGCTTACATATAAACTATACCACGGTACTATCACGAATTAAAACAAATTAATAATTATTAACATAAATATTAACAGCATTTACAGCGATAGAGTCGTCGTTACAATCGGCGCAAGTGTGTCTGCGCGGTGTGACGTAGCAAGTGCGGATTGGCTGCTTGAGTTATTCAAGTTTCAGCTTTGAGCAAGTAAGTTGATATACATTGAAGGTTGAAGCAGGTTGAAGAGCGTCTTGTTCATCAGTTCATGGTGACCATGGTGTTGTATGGTGTTCAGTTTAGTTCGACTGTCCCTGATTATACTGAGTGCGTGCAACGTGCACTGTGAAAACATGTTACAATGGCGGCAAATAGCGGGATCTATAGAGATAGAGATACTCCGCGATACAGATGAGGTGAATATGCAATTTTTTTTTTTACTAATTATATTGTTAATTGACAATATCCATAACTAGATCCTAACAATAAGTCCAATGGAATTGGATAATAGACACTTTTGCAATGCTCAGCATCGTTAATACAAACCTAATCTTAAAAAAACGGATACGCTTCTCCTGGTCGAATAAATATTACATGTCACGTACGTGCATATATTCGGATAGCAATATGTTGATTCAACAGCTCGACGTTTATGAATTATTCCTTTTTTGTTTACTTTAAACTCTCTTATTCGCCATTAGGCGAATGTTCGCATGTATCGTTAAATTTTTCTTTGTAATAATTGAATGTCATAATCTGTAGGATCACAAATCTACGATTTTAAAATATAAATTTAATTCTGTCTGCATATATTGTTAATAATAAGGGTTTTTAATTCTTTCTACTTGTAATAATTGTACAAATGTGAATTTTAAGTTTATAATTTTCCAGCTAAAATATAATCTAATATTAATTATATTCTCAAGTAACGTTAATAATCCTGTTTGTAAGTTATATCATATTATAACAGTACATTTGTATGAGTATATAGCTACAATTTTCCATCTAGAAATAGTGCAGTATATTCACTTGCATCCTTTAAAATATTATTAATTATCTTTTCCACCTGTAATAGTTAATATAATAATTGTATAGCTGTATATTTAAAGTATAAATGTAATCCTATATTTTTTTAAATAATTATTTCCTGTGATAATTGTCTGATAAGTAGATTATGATCTTATGCAAAACATAATTAAAAAATATTTAAATTACCTACTTATATCTTTATTCTCATGTTATGATTTAATATTTGCTCATCTCATGTATACTTTGATATTAAGTATCATTATATGATAATAGGTAAAATGTTAAAATAGTCTTCATATAATATAAACAATATGAACATTAACATCTGAAAATGGTAGAAGTATAAAATATTTACATATAACTTTCTTATTTTTTCTTATTATTTGTATGTCAATATGTTATATTTCAAATACAGTTATATGATAATAGAGGATAATAACAAGGGCAAATCTGAGAGTCAACAAAACTTACAATTTAAATTTCCCTGTATATTAAAAAATTTAATTATATTCAGAATTTTTTAATATACAGGAAAATTTAAATTGTAAGTTTCGTTTACTCTCAGATTTGCCCTTGTTATTATCCTCTATTGTTTCAACATCGAGAGATTAGTTTATATTTTAATATATGATAATATGTAGATAACATGTAATATTAATCTTTATATTATCAATATGACTATTAAATCAGAAAATAATAGAAATAAAAGGTATATTCATATGTACCTTTTGCTAAGATTGTAATGGTTCTTTTTAATCTCATAGGTCATAGAAGTTTATTTAGATCCAGATGGAAATGAAGTTATAGGGATTCTGCGACAGCAACATGCTCAACTTAATATCTGGGTCAATTTGGCTGTATGTACAGAATAGATAATTTTAATAGAAAAAGGATATATGTTAGTATCTATCTAAGTTTATTTCTTCTTTCAGCTCGAGTATTACAAGCAACAAAAAATTGACGACTTCATTAAAATACTTGAATCTTCTCGTATTCATGCAAATATTGATTATTGCGACTATGAAAAAGATCAGATGCGGGCCATTGATATGTTGGCTGCCTATTATGTCCAAGAAGCCAACAAAGAAAAAAATAAAGATAAAAAAAGAGATCTCTTTACAAAAGCCACATTATTGTATACAATAGCTGACAAGATCATCATGTATGATCAAGTATGTATTGTCATATACGTTTGAACAATAATAACCATAGTAATATGTTATAATAATAACCATAGTATTAATTTTTATATTCGTTTTTTTTATTGCAGAATCATTTGCTTGGTCGAGCTTATTTCTGCCTGCTCGAAGGTGATAAAATGGAGCAAGCTGATGCACAATTTAATTTTGTACTGAATCAGTTGCCAAATAACATACCGTCTCTGCTCGGCAAAGCTTGCATTGCTTTTAACAAAAAAGATTACAAAGGTGCACTTGCATTTTATAAGAAAGCCCTTAGAACTAATCCAAACTGTCCAGCCGCTGTTAGATTAGGAATGGGGCATTGTTTTATGAAGTTGAATAATCATGAGAAAGCGCGACTTGCATTTGAGAGAGTTTTGCAATTGGATGGACAATGCGTCGACGCGCTAGTTGGCCTTTCAGTCTTGAAATTAAATCAGCAACAACCTGACAGCATAAGAACCGGCGTGCAAATGTTATCAAAGGCATATACAATCGATTCGACAAATCCGATGGTCCTAAACCATTTAGCGAACCATTTTTTTTTCAAAAAAAATTACAATAAAGTTCGAGATTTAGCGTCGCATGCATTTCATAACACGGAAAACGAAGCCATGCGAGCAGAAAGTTGCTATCAGTTAGCCAGAGTATTTCACGTCCGAGTAAGCATACAGTAGCCATTAATGCTATTATGTCAATACTGCTTTTTTGTTAAGTAAAAATATTTCAGAGTGATTACGATCAAGCGTTTCGATATTATTATCAGGCGACACAGTTTGCTCCGCCTGTATTTGTACTGCCACATTTTGGCTTAGGACAAATGTATGTTTATCGTGGTGATGTAGAAAATGTAAGATTGTGCAATATATGTTACTTAAAATAATTATTCGTATTAATGTATGTAAAGTAATAATTTATTCCCCTGACAAAAGGCAGCCCAATGCTTCGAGAAGGTTTTGAAAGCACAACCAGGAAATTATGAAACGATGAAGATTCTCGGTTCTCTCTACGCTAATTCGAGTTCTCAATCGAAACGCGATATTGCAAAAAATCATTTGCGAAAAGTAACGGAACAGTTTCCTGATGATGTCGAAGCTTGGATCGAATTAGCGCAGATATTGGAGCAAAGTGATTTAAATGCAGCCTTGAATGCTTATGGTACCGCGACCAAGATCTTGAAGGAAAAAGTTCAAGCAGACATACCGCCCGAGATTTTGAACAATGTGGGAGCGTTACATTACAGGTACGTGTATATTTTTATATTACATATATTTTGTATACAATAGTATACTAATTTATTTTTTACTTCTCAGACTCGGTAACTTGGAGGAAGCCACGAAAAATCTAGAGGAATCTCTGGCGCGTTCAAAAGCAGATGCTTTACGTGATTCTAAATATTGCTATTCGATAGTGACTACGACGTATAACTTAGCTCGACTTAACGAAGCGTTACGTGTTTTCGATCGAGCAGAGGAATTGTACAAAAGCATTTTATTGGTACGTCCAAATTATGTGGACTGTTATTTGAGACTCGGCTGCATGGCGAGAGATATGGGACAGATATACGAAGCGTCCGATTGGTTCAAGGATGCTTTGAGTATGGATAACGAACATCCGGACGCATGGTCATTGCTGGGTAATTTGCATCTGGCCAAGATGGAATGGGATCCTAGCCAGAAGAAATTCGAGAGAATTTTGAAAAATCCGACCACGAGCACCGATGCGTACTCTTTAATAACGATGGGAAATATTTGGCTGCAAACATTACATCAGAGTGAAAAAGACAAAAAAAGGGAGAAGCATCATGATCGAGCATTAGCTATGTATGAGCAGGTAACTATATTATCTAATTCAATGTATCTAAAGTAAATATTATCTAGACATACTTGTGGTTATGATTAATATGATTTGTTAGGTTTTGAGAAATGACCCGAAGAACATTTGGGCTGCAAATGGTATCGGTGCAGTACTCGCGCATAAAGGTTGTGTAAATGAAGCTAGAGATATATTTGCTCAAGTGCGCGAAGCAACGGCAGAATTCTGTGATGTTTGGTTAAATATTGCGCATATCTATGTGGAGCAGAAACAATTCGTCAGCGCTATTCAAATGGTCGATATATATATTAATATATTATACACAGTTGATACAGTTAGAAGTAATTAATTTCAACTTAAATAATTTAATATTTTACATTGTAGTACGAAAATTGTTTGTGCAAATTCTATGAATACCATCACGTTGAAGTTTTACAATATCTTGGACGAGCTTATTTTAAAGCTGGCAAGTTAAAAGAAGCAAAACTGACGTTATTAAAAGTAATTAGACATACCATACATGTGAATTTTTTAATTTTATTTTAATATTTTACTTTGATAGTTTTATTTTAGTTTATTTTGATTGAAATTTTTTTATTTTGATATATAATTTGTCAATATATTCTTAGGCACGCAGAGTAGCTCCGCAGGATACCGTCTTATTGTATAATATTGCTCTTGTACTTCAACGATTGGCCACGCAAATTCTTAAAGATGAAAAATCAACTTTGACGACCGTACAGCAGGCAGTTCATGAATTACGTATTTCACTCAAATATTTTCAGTATTTGTCAGCGCCTGGCGACAGGATGGAACATCCTAGTTGGATGGCGAAAACTGAAGCCAAGAGAAGTCAAGATTTGTTATCACAAGCACAGTATCGTGTCGCTAGAGCTAGAAGGTTGGATGAGGAAGTGTTAAAACGGAAGCAAGAAGAAGAAAGGTACGTCACTCTCATCGGGAATATTTTTTTATACGTTTATCGCTAAATCATCTAAATTTATAGACAAGCCTTCAAAATGCGTCAGACGGAAGAGCAATATAAACTGGAAGAGATGCGTCGCCAGAAAGAAGAGATGTTGCAGAAGCAACAAGAATATGTTGAGAAAACTAAGAACGCATTGGTATTCGGTGAAATGCCGTCAGAAAAACCTTGTAAAAAGGGTAAAAGGCAACGAACTGACGACCAGTATGTTAGTGATAGTGGAGGATCTGATAGAGATGAAGGCAGAGAAGAAATACCGAAAGAAAGAAAGCGTAAGAGGAAACCTAGCAGTGAAACTGAAGAGAGGGAGAGTAAAGGTAAAGAAAGACGCAGGAAGGATGTTGGAAGTGATAATAGCGGTAAGAAAATTAAATTTTATTTTCTCTTTTCGTAGCATATAAAATCACTTGTTTTAATTATCAAGCTTTTAATACTCTTATAAAATGAAAGAAACAATTTTGAAGATATATATCTTGCAAGATCTGATAGTGATCAGCCAAAACAGAAACGTTGCAATAAGAACGTAAGGACTAAGAAAGAGAAAATGCGTACGGGCACGGTTGAGGCCCTTAAGGATAAGGTGGTTAAATCGAAGGAAACTATTTCAACGAGCGAGTCAGACAGTGATATGGATGGCCTTAAAATTACTAGTGGGTAAGTACGAGAGAGAGCGAGAGAGGGAGAGAGAGGGAGGGAGGGGGGAGAGAGAGAGAGAGATGCTATCTTAATATTATACGATTATCTCTAATGTTAGAATTCAATAAATCGCAGTTGATTTGATTTTTCTTGCGGATTTATATCACATTTACTATTTTTAAATTATATTATAAATACTAAAACATCTTAATAAATACACTAATTTCTTAGTTTATTACACTCAATAAAATGTTAATTAATTAATGTTAAATTATAATTTTATTGTTATAGTGTCGAAAGCGGTAATGAGAATCAACTGCATGGCAGCAAACAAATCGTCTCTGATTCCGAAGGCTTTCGCGCCTCACGTTCGAGATATGTTCAAGATCGAAATCCGGTAGCCGTTCAAGCAGTTCGCGTTCAGTTTCTCGTTGGCGATATCCATCACGATCGCGCTCTCAATCTCGATCTGCTTCGAGATCAACAATCCGATTGGTATCCAGGTCAAGATCAGGGTCAACCAAAAGCAGATCGTCTGGTTCGCTCAAGAGCGGCTCGCGAAGATCAAGATCGAATTCGAGAAAGATCGAGTTCGAGAAAGAGTGGTTCTAGGTCGAGGTCACCAAGCGGATCAAGAAAAGGCGTATCACCGTCAAGGTCCCGATCCAAAAGTGGCTCGCGTTCAGGCTCGGAAAAACACAAATCAAGAAGCAAAGGTCGATCGCGATCTAAATCAAAATCTATTTCAAGGTCCAAATCAAGATCAAGGAGTGGTAGCAGGTTGCGATCGCACTCTAGATCAAAAAGCGGTTCTCATAGCCGGAGTCCGAACTGATCGGCACGGTACGAGAGAGTTTATTTTTTTATACACAATACCACAATTATAATATATAAAAGTTTTTTTATATATGTTACATTACGCGTGTTATTTTTTTCACAGTTCTACATCCCCGGTATCTAGAAAATCAGTATCTGGAAGTGGCGGTAGTGATAGCGAATGAACTGATCATTTTCACACTTGTATTAAACTTATCATAGTGAAAAAAAAAAGATTACTCTTAAATAATATAAATGATTTTTTCAAAGATCGCTTTACAAAATTCTTTCAATATAAATAGAAAACAAATGTTTATCATCTCAACTGGATTTATTTCTTTTGTTAATCGTAATCACTCATAATAACTGTTGCTTCCGTTAACTGTGTACTTTCGGAATTCTGTTTAACAATGAGTATACTTATTAAATATATAAATTAAATAAAAAACATATTTTTTAAAGCATGTACACATCTTCTCACGCAGTACTCGACAACTAATCAGAATCACTTATAATAATTGCATCCACTTTCTTCGACTGTGCACTTCTGGTATTCTGTTTAAAAATAGATGTACTCATTAAATATTTAAATTAATATATTTTAATAATAAGTATTTTTAAACTATTAACTCATACCAGCATTTTTACAATAGAAACATTAATTTCATTAGATGTTCCTCTACCACGACTTCCTCTGGGGCCTCTGGATCCTCTACCGCCTCTTGAACCTCTTCCTCTTCCCCTTCCTCTAGTCTTACTCAAAGTTACATTTAAATCTTCATCACTGTCATCACTATTTGATTTGTCGGTATTGCCTATCTGTAAGCATGATTGCTTAAGGTCTCTAAAACTCGTTTGCGGTGATCTGTTTAATACTTCTAAAACCTGAAAAAGAAAAAAGTATACATCGGTATACTTGTATGTATCAGTAAAAATATGATACACTATACATATTGTGCATGTGTATGTATACATAAGTATTATTACATTATTCTGTTCCTCCAGTTCTTCTGAAAGCCTCTTGTCGCGGAAATTTTTAATTTCTTCACGAATATCTTCTGGGGTTTCAACATTTTGCGTTTTTAAATATTCGATGGTTTTTTTCATTTGATTTCTAACAAGTAAATCCATAAAATAATACTTTTAACAAAAATGTGAGTTGCTCTTGAGTATTAATTCAGAGAAGAGAAATTATCACTAATTACTACCTTATGACGCTTCTAAAGGCATCCAAGTCGCATTTCTCAACATATCGATTTAAGGCTTCATTCATTGCTGTTACTGTTAATACTGTTAATTTATCTTTATTTTCTTCCATATCAAAATACTTTTTAATTCCTCCTTGTACTGTGCTAGTCCAATTTTCCCCTTTCTATAAAAAAAAACTAGGCAATGCTAAAATGATATAAAACAAAATCAATTCGATATAAAACTATGTTTTTTTTTACATCTCCTTCGAATAATTCTGCAATATCATCTGGATCATCAATTTCATCTTGAATATGTTTTCCTTTGTCTCCGCTCTTTCTTTTACGAAATATAATCATGTCCATAGGATTAGCAACTTCATCACAATATTTTTGTGCCAAACTAAAAGCATTTTTTTTTTAGAAATAAGAGTAAAACATGACATATATATGTAGTAATTTCAAGTTATGTAATGTTAGAATAATACAATATTTTCAAACCTTAATGTATCGAATTGTTCATTCTCATCGTCATAAAATATTCTTAATCGAATTAAAGGTTGTAGTGGTTGACCAGGATATCCTAGAATGAGTTTGATTTTATATATTAAATAAAATATTGACATTTATCAGAAAGAATAATACTAAATTATTTTGATTGATATACCTGTGAGTTGTTCGGTAACTTTAGGAATAAGCTTATTTTCAATATATTGATCTACATATTGACTGATAGAATCTGCTAATGAGATGCAATCTCTTACTTTGATATCATGATCATAAAGAACCATGTTATCAAAAATAAATGGACGAACACTTTGTAATTTTAAAGATTTTATTTTAAAATTACTTTTATTTATTTTAAGAAGGCCCACATGTTTAGGTTTTGATTCACTTTCGCATAAAGAAGTAACAATGGAGCTTCCTAAAATTAGTTTAATACATAATTTTAGAAAAATGAATTCTAAAATAACCTCCACTTATGTATGTGTCTATATATATCATAAAAGAATATATAGTTTTACCTGGTTGACAAATATAATATTCGCCTTGTTGATTAAATTCAGGCTTAATGCGACATTCATGTTCATGTCCCCAAATAACTAAATTGAGAAATTTATGCAGTTTATCTTCAGATATATAAGCATCACGGTTTTTGATACGATTTTGATGTAAAACAAATATATTAAAAGTCTCTACATCAGTTGGACGTAACAAATCTACCTGTTTCCAAAAGTTATATTATTCTCCATGATAAGATGAAAAAATATGCTTTAATATAGATTATACCTTATCATCTCTATATAATCTCCACAATCTTTGATCATTGATATAACTCAGACCATACAGTGCAATATGGGTATTACGTTTTTTCAAAATTAAAGGAGATACAACTATGCGTTTCAGATCTGTCCATTTTCCAAAGTAATTCACAAGTCCAGTAGCTGACAATATATCCATTGAACCAACAGTACCAAAACCTATAATAGATAACAAATAAGTTAGAATTTATGATAAAAGACTCAAAAGAAAAAAAATTATATACTTGGATCATCATGATTTCCATGGATAGTAAATACTGGCATTGAGACATTCAAATTTGGATCTTCATAATTCACATGTTTCTGTGCACAGTGTTGGAACACCTGTTCCGAATCACTCAGAAACTCTATCTTGCATTCTCTAAAAATACATTAACACTAAAGTGCACTATCACGTTAAAGATATACTATATAATTTAAAAATATATTATAAATTTTATTTAACCCATCTATTTAAATATTACTTACCTTGGGCCCAAACAATATTTTCGTAGTAACTCTACACACTTAAGCAACGTGGTCTGTGAAGGCTTAGTTTCGTGAAATAGATCACCACCCAACAAAATAAAATCAACCTCGTTATCTTTGCCATATTTCAATATTTCTTCGAACGTAACAAAGCTCTCATCAGATTGTCCTCCTACAAACAGAAACGATAACTTTAAAGTTATACTGATCTTCAATTTTATACATATGTCATCTCATGTCTATTTTTATATTTATCACAATCTTATTGAAAAATACTGTTACAAAAACAAACCTCTCTTTTTACAGTAATCAAAGCCAAGATGAATATCTGTGGCTACTAGAATACTAATAGTATCTTCTGGATCTACGTGCGTATTAGATGGTTCCGACATTTCTTATGTGTTCATGTGTCAAATATTTGATAATTGTTTAATATTTTAACATGTAGTTATACGCAATAATGAAACAACTGAGAATTGGAATGTGTCGAAATGGCGCGAATGTACACGTTTATAAGGCACAGGGTACAACAAAAATGTAGAAGGGGAATACGATAGTTGTTTAAAGGCCGCAGCACACACTTTTGCATGACGCATAAGAGAATTAACCAATCAGAGTCCTTCTTTTCCTCCCACTTCACAGAAAAGAAGAACTTTAATTGGCTGATTCTTTTATGCACTATGCGTTATGCATTATGCAAAAGCTTGTGTCTGGGCTCTAGCTATCGCACATGAAATGCATAAAGCGGGGAGCACAGACTTTTGCATGACGCATAAAGCATGTGCATAAGGAATTTCATTGGTCCATTTTCTTATGCATGAGTCAATGGACCAATCAAATTCTTTATGTATATGGTTTATGCGTTATGCAAAAGTCTGTGCTCCCCGCTTAATAGAGCAAGAGCATAACATAAAACTGTTGGACCAATAAGCATCCAGCATAAAGCGGGGAGCACAGACTTTTGCATAATGCATAAACCATATACATAAAGAATTTGATTGGTCCATTGACTCATGCATAAGAAAATGGACCAATGAAATTCCTTATGCACATGCTTTATGCGTTATGCAAAAGCTGTGCTTCCCGCTTAAAGTTGCCATATTGATTAACATAAGATGCTTATCGGTCCAGCGATATTGATAGTGTATCACCGTATGTTCACCCCTCGCCCTGATGAAGTGAATGGCATAGTTCATGAAACGTTGGCATCAATAATGAAAAAAGACGCAGCGACAACCCGCAAACCTTCTAGGACAACAAAATATTGTATTTATAAACGAGTAAATATGATATATAATCGGCCAAATGACGGTCAAGAGCAGATTGCTAATATAATGTGTGAATTTTATTTACCACATATGTAGTCCATCGACATATAGAATGGACCGCTGATGGCAATCGTGGGGGTAGAAAAACGGACAAAGTGAGAGGCAGAGTAACATGACATGATCGTTCTTTCTCTGTTTACTAAAGCCTGATTGGTTGTTGGATTAATAGCGACCAATAGTAATCAGTAGTTATCAGTAAACAGAGAAAGAACGATCATGTTATTTCTGCCTCTCACTTTATCCGTCTTTCTACCCCCACCACTACCATCAGCGGTCCATTCTATACATCGATGATGTAGTCCCTTAATCCTTAATCGCGTTCCGAAATTTTTTCAGACTTACAACGCAACTCTAATCAACTACCGGTAGTAATATCACTTTAGTTAAATTGACACAAGCAATCTAACAATTTTTTTCTGTTCTTTTCTTCTAAATTTCTCGTACAGTCCGTCTTTTTTCTCTCGCCCTTTCCAATGTGAAAAGAGAAAGAAAGAAAGACGTAAACCATACAAAAAGTTAAGCTATAAAACAGGCCTAATCGAACCATAATCTATCTTCTTCTTATTAATTAATGGCTTCTGCCTCCATAAAGTGAACGGAGACAAAACGGCAACCATAATCTACCTGCAGACGTAATTCGCGCCGGTTCCGCCGACACGAAAACGGAGAGGGCCGAGTGAAGCCCGAGGGCAACCCGACCATAGCGAAAGAGTGGGGTGAAAAACGGCGCGCGCTGCGCCATCTGACGCCTCATTGGCAGTCGCAGCAGGGAGCGCGCAGGAGGTGGTCTATTGTACGCCATATTTGTTGTTGTCATCCATGGGGGTAGGCCAGTCCTTAGTTTTCTCGGATTCGGTTCGTTGACGGTTCCTGGGATAACAGTCCGCGTCGATTTCGGGGACGTTCAGTGGTGGTTGCCTGTGCGTGACGCGACGTGCGGAGTCTTGAAAATCACGGGTACGGATTGTTGCTTTGCGCGCGGGCGCGTGCGGGGTGCGTGCGTGTGTGTGTGTGCGCGCGCGCGCGCGGAAGGGGTACTCGCGCGTACGTGCGTGCGTGCGTGCGTGCGGCGGGCGTGTGTGTGTGTGTGTGCGCGCGCGCGCGCTCAGCGCGCGCGCACTTTCCGGCGACGTCCCTTAAGCCGCGGGACGAGAGAAACATCGATGGGGCACCTTGACGGCTCAGCTGTCCTGCTCCGTGCCGAGGGCGCCTCCGTGCGTGTGCGCGTGTGCACGCGCGTTTGTATACTACCGCCGCTACTCGCGTCACAGTCACGCTGCTTACGCACGATGCTCCGCTCCACGGTGCCCCGTTAGCGTCGCGACGTTTCCTATCCTGTACCAGCGAACGGAACGCGAGACACCGAAAGGGGGATTGACGCCAGGGAAGACGGGCGAGGAGAGCCATCCCGGATCTCCGGACGCAGATTTTTTACGGGGTCGGAGGTAAGCGAGAAGAAATTTCGTCGGTGCCCCGTGATGGCGCGCGACCGCGGCATTTGCGTGTGCGCGCGCGCGCGTGTTTATGTATGTGTTTTTGTATATATGATACACGCGCGCGAATTGGTATTCGAATCACATACATCTGTTCCTCTACGGAACGCACGCGTATTCGTGTGCGGGAATGCCGCGAGAATTTCGGTGAGTTTGTGAAGTGTAAGAAAGGAAGAGAAAGAGCGACGGTGGGGCGGCGGGGGGGGAGGAAGGGGGGGTTACGGTCGTGTATGGGATCGGGGTCGTTGTACGTTCTTGACGCTGGGGTCTGTTGACCCTGGCCAAGGTCCCCCGCGGTTCATGGCTACATCGTCGTTGTGTCTACGCGCGAGATTCCTCTCGCGTCTCCCACATCCCCAGATCGCATATATACAGGCGTCAATCGCCTTAACCTAGTCCAACGACACGTCGCTTGACTCACGCGCACGCGATGATACGTGCACCGAACCGAGCCGAGCGATAATAATACGAGCGGACGGTAGTCGCGCACGATCGGCGCGCGTCCTTTACGATTCGCGCCGATTCTCGGCGAGACGAGCGTGTGTTCGATTCCACGCGACGAAACGAGGCGCCCCGCCGCGTGTCGCGGCTTGAAAAATCAATACCGCGTCTCTCTGTGAGGTAACGCGAATCAGCTGTTCCTGTTTTACTCCTCGGGGCAACCCGCGAGGTGACGAAGCTCCGGCCGCGCGTGTTTCTCCTACGCGCGCGCGATCATGGCCGAAGGTTTCTCCCGAAAAACTTGTTGATTTCTATGTATTTATCATGTTATTCTGAGTGCACAGCCTCTTATTGAGCATAACGAACAGTCTTTGCCGAGGTCTTTTGCATTTTCTGTCTCATCCAGATGGAATTGCTTTGCGAAACACAAGCTGACCATGTATTATGGAACAATGGCTGTATTCTTCGAATATATTGCATATGACAATGTGTGAAAATACCATTGCATATTATACATATAAAAAGAACGATTTTGTTGAAATATTAAAAAATTTTTTTAACTATGGATGCAGATATAAAATAATTTTATTGGACCATTCAATTACGTGTTGGAATTCAAGCGTGATGAGGAATGCTGCAAAAAGTTTTGACATTCCATCAACCAATTTGAGCATCCTACATAATTATTTTTATGGTTGAACAAAATTATTTTCAGATCTGTATCTGAAAAAATGTCGATGATTGCCACGACCAAAAGTCGTCCATTAATGCATTAACAGTTATGGCTATTAAAGTATGTCTGTTTATCTTACGGTTATCACAACCAGGGTTTGACAAGGGTCCAATCCAATAAAATTCACTTAAAAAAACCCATTTTAAAACCCATAAAGTCTAATTAAAATTTAATAATATATAGTATATATTGTTTAATATAAATTAATATGAATAAAAATAATTTAATATTATAAATAAATTATAAATAAAATAAGAAATTTTTGCCTTGAGAGAGAAACACTTACACGAAATTATTAAAAACTATGTATTACTTTTCCTTTATTTATTAAATTATAATTTTACAAATTTTTCATACAAATTACAAAATTTGATTTTTCATGAATGCTATTTTTTTTTAATTTACAAATATTAATTGTAATAAATATAAATTGTATTAAAAATTGTACTTTTATTTTTTTTTGAGCAATTTATAAAAAAGCTATAGGTATACGTAACGAACATTACGTGATGGAATTATATTTGGTCAAAAACTAAATTGAATAAAAGATGATTGAGCTCCAAGTCTGATCAGGTTGATTTGGCATAAAAATAGAATGCTTCTTATACAGATATATGTGCATGTATATTACATTAATTAATAGATTAAATTAAGTTGAAATTAATTGATAATATAATTATCTATTTATATTATATTGAATAGCGAGTTTTGCTAACCATTAATATTATTATAAAGAATAAAAATGCATAAAACCCGAAAAAATCCATTAAAACCTTAAAAAAACCCGGATTTTTTTAAACCCTGATCACAACCGAGTGTATTGACGAAAATTATTATTATTTACAGTTGTAGCAACCGTAACATTTTTTTCATGTGTTCCTACGTTTTTAGAATTCCAGCATACAATTTTTTTTTTTTTTTTTTTTTTATTATATAGAGATAGTAAAAGATAACTTTATTAGATAATGAATAATTTTATTACATTATCATTATATAATTGTATGTGATGCTCAAGTTGGTTACTTGAATGTCAAAACTTTTTGCAGTATTTCTTATTGTATTTATATCATATATTCCACATACGGAAATCTGTAATATGTATAATGTATGAATACTTAAAAAGAACGAATTTGTTAAAATTAAAAAAGAACTAATAATATATTTATATAAATTTAATTAAAGTTAATAATTTAAATATAAATCTGAAAATAATTTTGTTTAACCGTTAAAATAATTATGTAGAATCTACATAATTGTTTTAACGATTTAATATAATAAAATTATTTCAGATCTATATATTTCAATTTTTAACTTTAGGTATAAGTTTGTATTATAATAGTTAAATTGTTTTAATTTTATCAAAATTGTTTTTTAATGTACATTACATATACATATTATTAAAATGCCATTCTTGTTGGACTTTTTTGTTGGTTTGATCAGTACATTTTTCTCAATATAGTCTTGAAAATATTATGAATGTATATGTGACTATAAGTCTGCTCTTTCTAGATGAATTTCTTGCACACTTCATCTGTTCTCCCATTTTCTTTAACGTGAAAAAGATGAAATGCAAGATGCTCAGCTAAAAAGAACAAGTCTTGTACAAGTTATATATTGAGAGCGAAAAGTCGCAATATGAAATGTGGTCTTTTCTCTGATGCAGGTCTTCAGGAACCGGTGAAGTCTACGTCGTTACACGATCGTGCAGACGAGATTCGGCGTGGCGGGCACGGTGACAGGTAACCGTCGAGGACGCGCTCGTATTTTCGCGTGTGCTGATTCGCACGGTAATTAAAACTGGCGGGCAACCTGGCTCGGTCCTCCGGCAGCGGTGGCGGCGGCGGCGGTGGCGGCGGTCGAGCCGGTGGTAGAACTGGCAATAGTGGTAACGGCGGTGGAAGTGGTGGCAGCGGCGGTGGAGGTGGTGGCGGCGGCGGCGGCGGTGGCGGTGGTGCGGGTTCAAGAAACGCGGGGGCGGCCGCGGCCGCTGCCGAACCCGGAATCGTTGCAGATGAGGCTGCCGGACCTGCTGGTGGACACCTAATCGAATGGGAAGAAAATGATCGCTTTTCTTTCGACGATTCCGACCGCTTCGAGGAAGATTCGCTATGTAGTTTCAGCAGCGAGCCTGAATCGCTCTGTAATAATTGGCGAGGATGGAGACGACTTCCACCAGCATTTGGATTATCTAAGAAATCCTGCGAAGGTAAGCTGCGTTGCGGGTGATTAATCCACAGAATCCTATCTCAGTTAGATATTAGAAACATATATCTACTGATATACATATACTGATGTATGTATAGTACCTACAATTTATCGTTGGAAGAGATTTGCCATATTTTCGAAACAAAATAAATTTTAAATTTAAACTGATTTTAGTTATCATAATTAATTAGTTAATTTTATTGAATTATTTAATTTACAGTTTTTATTAAGTTTTTATTAAACAGGATTATCGGATTATTGTAATACGCTTTTTTACTTTTAAAAGCAATCGATATAAATTGCTGTATACAACGGTCGGGAAAAGGAAGCGAGTTTCGTCTTCTGTGCTCGTAAACGCGATTGACTTCTGTTTTCTTTTTCTCCTCGGTCCTCGCTCCATGCTGGAACGATCAAGGCCGAGAATAAGACCAAAACCGAAACGAGAAAGAGTACGCGAGGGAGAGAGTAAACGAAAGCTATTGCTCGCTCTCGTTGGAGTGCACAGTCACCCGATTCTGTTTCGAGATTTCGTTGCACGTTGCACGATTTACATTGACAGATATAATCCTGATGGATGCGAGTGCGTCCCTCGTGGATAAGCTCGGAACTAGATTTAGATATATCGGGCATTTTTATCACACACAATTTTATATCTATGTAGATAAACTCTCTAATCTTTTAATCTTTTGGTTTCATGTAACTTTACGGATCCTTCTTATTACAATGTTTTTATATTGCACATCAAGTTTATTTAGGAACGAATCAATGCAATGAGATCGACACGTTGCAGTGAAAGTATTTGAATCCACTTTCTCATTGTAACGGTTGTACGCGTCGCGATAGAAAGCGAATATATATTTTTTCGTTGCTTCAAATCCTTCTGGATAATTTATTATTTCTGGCATTTAATATGTATAAATATGCAAATTATGTTATGTAAATGAAAAACAACATTATATGGAAACCATATTTACATGTAGGATATACAATTTTAATATTTTCATTTTATATAGTATTTATACACTGAGAAAAAATGTATTAAATTTTAATTTAAAAATATTTTTTTAATAGCACTAGTTGTATATTTATTAAATTTGATTCAACTATCATTTTTTATTCAATAAATATTTATTTATTACACGCAAATATTTAGTACTATTTAAATAAATATTTATTAAGTTTAATATATTTTTTTTAATGTATATATATATATATTTATATTTATCTTAATTTCTGATATTCTTTTTATTTCAGAAAATTAGGCACTGTACAGAAAATTATTCTATGTAGTTTTATATACTAAAAAGAAATTGATTAAATTTTAATAAATCTTAGCAGAATATTTACTTTCGCAGTAAATGAATATTCAGATAAATGAAAAAAATTATATTTGAATTAATCTAACAGTTCTTGTATCTAAATAAATGGGTTTTTATTTAGTAAATATTCTGCTAGAACTATTTAAAGAAATATTTACTAAAATTTAACAAATTTTTTTCTCAGTGTACAATACTCTATAAAATATGGATTATGTACTTTAACATATACATATAAAGAAATTATTGTTGCAGGATAACGGTACTCCTCTTTGTATGAAAATGATTAAAGTATACTTTTGTTGTCGCGACATGTTATCGTTTAATAATAACTACATTGGCCAGAGTACAATTAATGAAAATCCCCACATTACCATCTCTCACATATTACTATTTTATATCTTCTTGAAACATCGGTCATACATGTAATAGTTTGAATTTTCCATAATTTGGATTTTAATTAAGTAGGTTAATGCACGCGCATACGTTAATGCACACGATGAAGTTTCGGGTTGAATTTGCAACAGTCCGCTCTTCGTGATCGTTCTAACTGAGAATTGTAATGATAGAACAGCAAAAGTTATATCTCCTATCGTTTCTTTAGTTTAGAAGTTTCCGGCTTTTCTCATTTTACAAGAAATAAGATAACATAGAATTTAAGTATAAATGGAAACTAACGGGACTTGAAATATCATCAGTATTAAAGGATAGCGACGGAAGAGGTTAACACGCGAGTAATTCTGCGGTTGCAAACGCATGGCGTTACACGGTAAGAGTATACTCTGCGATGAGCGTTCGCTACATGGTATGAGTGATTATTTCAGCGGAGATTTACTACGTTTGCGTGCGTCATCGTTGCAACTTGATAAAGAGAAAATACATACGTAGGTTGATATGTATTTCATTACTGTCGTAGAGTTTACAGAATTATCATTCGCGTACATTGGGACTTTCCACACTGTTACACTGTTAGATATCAAAAGAACAACTCCCTTGAGTTAAGTAACATTTTGTTATTTTTAACTTCCATGTGCGTCAGTCATATGTATAAATCAATCTATTTCTTTCAAAGTAAATCATCTATATACTTTTAATAAATAATAAACTAAATTTTTTAATCAACTTTTTAATATTAAATTCAATTTTCTTAAATTAAATTCTTCAATTCCATATTATTTCAGTTAAATTAACAATATATTGAATAGGAATAGTGGCGACCTGTACTATAGAAATGACTTAAAAATAATTTAAATTAAGTATAACTTGACGTTATAAATTTAACAGTGTTATCTATTATATTGTTTTTCGCGGAAAGTGAAATTTTACTTATACAAAAAACCTAGATTATTATTAACGGAAAGTTAAAGACGAGTTTTACTGTCAAGAAAAAGCATGAAACATTTATAAATTTAAATCAATGAACAAAGAAGTTAACTACAGTTATTTGTTTGATTATTCAAGGTAAAGCTCTAAGTCAAAATCGATAAGTCGAAACGAATTAATCGCCAGTTATATTTGAAATGCATTTGATGAAAGCGATGAAAGCGATTTTGACTAATGGAATATAATATTGTTGTTTCAAATATAATATTTTGTTCGTATTTGCGAGGTAATTTTTCAATTTAAATTTAATTCAATTATAAGTACATAATCGAGAACGCTTATTGCCGCGGAGAATGTGCAAAGAGACGACTATGAAATATACAATATTTTAGATTTGCAAGTTTTCTTTTTTTTTAGCAATATCGTATATGCTAGTTTTTTATAGAAAGCAGAATTGCCTGCGGATATACAATCATGCAAATTACCTTGCACAGTTTGCAAACGGTTTTCGCAGTTTGTGTGTGGATTGAATGCATTAATGCAATTTTAACTTTCTCACACGGGCGTACGCGCTCGATGTTCGTTCCCTTCGAGGATAAATGCAAATCTCCGCTGCTCTTTTCTACATTTCCCAGAGCTCTGATATTGTCGAACTGTGTGGAAAGCGCGAGCGACATTTCGAGAGACTGCCTCCACGTTTATTTATTTCTATTTTTATTTTTCTATAAAACTTTTATGAATGTCATATTTTGCCGGAGCGCCTTTTGCAAGACGCGTTAATGTTGACGATTAAAACTTTTCGGCTTACAACGGCTGCTGTTCCTCTTGTTCGTATTCTCAGTGGAAAATCATAGTCGTAGCTTCATTAAGAATTAAACAGGGTTTCCAGGGAGTTTAATAAAGACAGAAGGCGCGATATTGAGAACTTTCAAGAAACTTTCCGTTCTTCGCCTTCAAAATGGAGACCACTTTTAAGGAGAGAGGAATACGACATTTGCTTGTGCAAATAAGAAAAAGTTGTGAATGTTTTAAAGAGATCAAGTTAATGACATTTGTATACGAATGCTTATAGGATCGCGATATGTACATGTTTGTGGTTTAGACTTAATCTTACTTAATCTAATGATATAATAAAAAATTGTATTTTCCTATTACTAAATTGGTGGTTTTGTGACAGTAACAGTTTAAAAGTGTAGTGATTAACTATAGCTGGAAAAACATTTTTTACATTATCATTAAGTCTGAAAATTGAAACTGAAAATGAAAAAATAGATAGAACTTAAAAATATTGTAAATCAGTAAGCGAGATACTCAGAACATCTAATAAAAATTTTAATTTTATAGTTCTATTTTTTTTACTAAATATTATTGTTAAGTTTGAAATTACCTTACGAGATAGAGAAATATATAATAAAAGTATATAATGAACCTTAAAATTTTTAAGCATCTGAACAATAACTTGTTTATTGCAAATTAAGATTTTAAAGAGAATTATGAGGTGCTGTAGCTTACTTCATTTATGCTCTTAAAGATTAAACAATTATTTTCTCTTTTAATAAACGCGAAAAGTGTATTTCTTTTAAGTCATTTTGCGTGTGTATCCGTTGTCGATCTTTCCGCTACACTGTAAGTAGGTATGTTGCGTGAATCGGTGATTCATGATGTATAGTACTGCGTGTATCTTTTCGCTATCATGTCAAGGATGAAGGTCTCGCGAGCGTTAATCTCACTTCATCAGCAATTATGGCTTTGCGAATTAAATAGATCGGCGTAGAACGAGGAGGCCTGGATAATTCGCAGGCTTTCCTGCGGGATTCCGTAGGGCGTATAAATTCCTGGAGCTAGAGAGAATCGTTGGAAACATTTCCAGCTGCGAAACGTTTGCATCACGCGCTCACGTATCTACGAGCTTAGGTACATATGCACGTAAGTTCCGCCTTCATGCAGGGCGGCGGCTTTCGCATGCGGGCGTTGTATGTTCTCACCCCTCGTTCTGTTCAACGTTCTCGTTTCTCTTTCTTCGCCAACAGAATTTCGCGCTTGAACCGTGTCTCGATTGATGATATATTTTGTGGATGACGTTTTCACGTTGGATTTCACGACGTGTTCTGGAATCCTGGAAATCACAAACGCACTATATTTCTATTATATTATGTTTTGGGAACCATCACACATGACGACGTGTTTGCAGTTTACGCGATTCTGCATTTCAAGTGGATTACAAATGTTGGTTGTTCTAAAATTTGATCACGATTTAAATTAACGTTACAGTATTTACACAGATAATATTGAAGAGCATAGAAAAACTCTTACAGAAATTTAATACTGGAAGATAGTAATTAACTATTTATTTTGAGTATTAACCCTGGTGCGTCTCTGCAATCATATTTTTATTTCTTCAGTCTGCAATCTGGATTTTTTATTCAATCCAAGTTTTTTTTTTACTGTTCTAAGCTTCAAGAAAATTCAGTGTTACTTTTTAATATTTGTATTACATTACGAAATAGTTTTTAAATTTAAAACTTTTATTTAATAAAAATTGAAATTTGAGTAAAAATAAGAGTGAAGAATATTATATTTTATAGACAGGATGTTAAAAGCATTATACAGAAAGAACGATTTCGCTGAAGTATCTAAAAAATTAACTAAATACAGATATCTGAACATTTCATTAGACTATCAAAATAATTATGTAGGACGCTGAAGCTGGTTGCTAAAATATCCAAATTTTTTTGCAGCATCATGTTTGAATTTCCTACATAATTATTTTTATGCTTAAAAAAAATTATTTTCAGATTTGCATCTAGTTAAATTTTTAGATACCTTAACAAAATTGTTTTTTTCGTGTATTGTTCACAGTATTTTAATACTCAGCTTTTAATACTAAAAATAAGTACTTAATTATCATCTTTCAGTATTAAATTAGATTTTTGAAAGGGGAACAATTTGTAAATCTGCAAAAGAGACAAAACAATGTAAAACAAGGCGTACATGCTGTTGCTTCGTTAACAGGCATCTTGCCAACAGACTTAGCTGTACAACAAGCATCGTAGAGTATGCTGTCTTGCAACAACTTGACGAAACTCTGTTCATACACGAAATTCCGTGGCCGATGATTGAAACATATAGTCACGTCGTTTCTCGTGTATCACGAACACACCAAGTTCTCCGACTATCAAATTACAATTCTGCTGATGTTACACCGTATATATATCGATTATATCCGAGTATACTCGGATGCTGCCACTATACAGCTCACTGCATCTGAACATCCATTGACATTATAGGCAAAGCTCGAGATTGATCTCGTGCAATGAATTAGCGGCGCTTATCAAGCGATTTTTAGTGCTGAGAGCGATATACGTGCGGCTATACGCGTATAATATAAATCACACGCGCGTGTATATTCCGCTCGAAGGACTCGGCCTGACATTGATCGATGAGCCTCGTCGCGAATCAGCGTTCGTTGTTCGTGCGCGAGCATTAACGCGTCCAAGTCATCGAGTAATTCATATAACGAGATTTTGCGAGTCGTCGAGACGAAAGCTGAACGCACGTACGTTATACCGGTTTTACCAGACGATTGTCTTAGTTATTTGACGATGCTAAATTATAAAGTCTGC